ATATCAAATATCAAAGTTATTTATTTGACATGATTAAGAATTTTTATTTTCTTCCTTTTTCCTTAAATTGAATTTCACGAAGTGGGACAAAGTAGTAGCTAATAAGTAATAACAAATTTGCCTTATAGACCATTTGGTAAGGAGAACATTTACAGAGAATTCATGAAATAATCAGGTTGGATAGTTGGAAACTAAGATAAATATTTTAAGATTCAAATATAGAAGTATGAACCAGTATCGGGATAAAATCATAGAAGGAGAAATTAATAATGAAAATGGATTCACCACCAAACCCGGATCCAATAGGCATGCCACCAATTGGAAACCTACTTGGAGCCATTTTATTGGATGGGAAAGTAGTAGGTGGAGTTCGTCATCTATTGGAGAATATGATACAAGAAGCAAAGCTCTTCGTTGAGTAAAGGGTAAAGGCTAATTAGAAATATTTGCCTAAGATTAATTTTCCTTTTATTTCTTATTTTTGCATGGAATTTGCTTTTGACAATAAAAATAGGATTAAAAGAGGAAGTCAGTTTTTTTTTTTTGGGAAAACTAAAAAAAGAGCATTAATGCCTAGATTTTCAAAATATTCCATATCACCTTTTTGCTTAGATTTTCTTGATATTGTATATGAGCTATGATATTGTGGCTTCTTTTGATTTTTGATATAAATTACTTTATAACGGGCAAACTGATTAACAATGTACTAAAGTTTCTTATTCAATGCCTGTTACATCCATCTTCTAATCTTTCTTTTGTTGGATAATTGGGAGATATGAGTAGTAGAATCTATGAAAATTTGAACCCGTCTCAAAACCAAAATTTAAAATTCAATTCAATGCCATTAACATGGCTCTTTTGGCCATCTCTTCACTTGTTTTTAGCTAATAACCTTCAAATGTTTTCCAATTGCTACAACAAAATATTTTGCTGGGATAACACCACGAAGCCAATACCAGCCTGCAAGTTAGGAACAAAAGAGCTATCAATATAAATAGCTAGAATAAGTGTTATCTCTGAAGGGTAGAGCGTTCTGATTCAATATAGCCTCCTCGTTGATCATGGTAACAGAACATGAAGAAGGTTCTTACATATTAGTTACGTAAGGGGATCGTGGGATCCACTTTTTTGCCATGAAAAAACTTGCCATTTCTCACTTCCCATATTAATCTTATAAGAACTACTCATTTTTCAAAGAGCCCTTATTGCTGCATACCTTTGAAGATTTTGAATCCATTTGGCTGCTACTTGACTCATGGGTTATACCTCAAAAAAATTTAGATTGAATCCAATGTTGGCCTTATCAATAAAAGAAATTAAATGAGCAGATTGTTAACAAAAACAATTGAAAAGACAGAGAACCCAGGACTTAGATAAGAGAAATACATTTCTTTCTCTCTCTGTTTCTGTATCTTTATTCAAAAGTCTTGAACCCAATAAATAGACAAATTCATAACAGAAAATGCATGTAAATAGGACTCCAAACAAACCCACGTTCTGCACAATAAATTTAACTATGGACTCTAAACAAACCCATATTCAAATACTGTAACTAATCTCCTAAAGACTATAACACATTGACTGAGACTACAATTAGAAACATAAATGTGCAGAAAACAATTAATATTATCTTAACAATCCCTCCCTTAAACTGAACACTGTAGTGCTTCAGTTTACTTGTGCAGCAGCAACATCAACATTCTTCAAAGTGCGAACACCCATCAACCTTCTCAAAGTTTGGAAGGGAGAAATTTTGAGAGGCTTAGTAAATATATCAGCCAACTGTTCCTTACTTTTGCAATACTTCAGATCAATGGTGCCATCACTACTAAGATCTCTTAGAAAATAGTATTTCACATTTATATGCTTGCTTTTTCCATGTAACACAGGATTTTTGGACAACTTGATGGCTGAATTGTTGTAATAAAAAATTGTAGTAGCATCTGGTTGTTTGAATTTCAATTCTTCAAGAATTCTCCTTAGCCAAATCGCTTGACAAGCACAAGATGTTGCAGCAACAAATTCAGCTTCTGTTCTTTACAAGGTGACAATCGGTTGCTTCTTGAATGACCATGAAATAACACCTGTCCCAAACATAAAAACGTAACCTGAAGTATTCTTCCTATCATCTTGGTCTCCTGCATAATCGCTGTCAGTAAATCCCAGGAAATTAGACTTTACACCCCTTTTGTAAAACAACCCAAAGTCCCTAGTTCCTTGCAAGTAACGAAGGATTCTTTTTGCTACCAACAAATGTCTGGTCTTGTTGCGGTTAGATACATCAAACTGCCCACAATTTGTTTGTAAAGTGTGCTGTCAACCTTCTTCCCTTCATGATCTTGGTGCAGTTTCAAACCAACCTCAAATGAAGTTTTTACAGGATACAATCTTTCATTTCAAACCTGTCCAGAATTTCTCCCACATATTTCTTCTGAGAAATAAATATCCCATCACATGATTGCACCACTTCTATTCCAAGAAAGTAATGCATCATACCAAGATCAGACATTTCAAACTCGTTCATCATAGATTTCTTAAATTCTTCAAACATGGCATCACAATTTCCAATAAAAATAAGGTCATCAACATACAAACAAACAATGAGCATTTTCCCTTTATCTCCAATCTTCACAAAAAGTGTATGCTCGTAAGGATATTTTCTAAAACCAACTTTAAGAAAATAAGATTCAATGCGATTATACCAAGACCATGGGGCTTGTTTTAGCCCATAAAGAACTTTCTTCAATTTGTAAACTTTATGCTCATTTCCAATCTTGACATAACCAGGGGGTTGTTCGATAAATACTTGTTCCTTCAAGTACCCATGCAAGAATGCTGATTTGACTTCTAATTGAAAAATAGGCCAAGAATTCTGTGCTGCCAAAGCAACCACCAATCTGATTGTGTCATGTCTTGCAACGGGAGAAAAAACTTCTGTATAATCAATCCCATATTGCTGCTTGTATCCCTTGGCAACCAAGCATGCCTTGTACTTGTCAACTTCACCATTTTCTTTCAGCTTTGTTTTATAGACCCACTTTACACCAATTCTTTTGTGTCATTTTGGAAGGTCAGATAGTTCCCACGCATCATTTCTTTCAATGGCATCAATTTCATCATCCATCTCTTTTCGCCATTTTTCTTCTTTAATAGCACTCTTAAAAGTAGTAGGATCACAATCTGAAAATAAAGCAAAGTGAGTAATTGGTTTTTGAATTCCAGTTACCTCATAATCTTCCATCCAAACAGGCCTTCTTCTAACACGACGAAGAGATTGAGCTTCTTCTTCATTGACTTCAGTGGCTGTTGGGGTTGTACTTGATGATTTTTCATGCATACAAGGTGCTGAAATTTCTTCCAGCTCATCATTGTTGTCATAAAGGACTTGGGTAGGTTGTTGCCTATTCCAATCCCAAGTGTTCTCTTCATCAAAAACAACATTCCGGCTGGTCACAATTTTCTTTGTCAATGGATTGAATAATTTATATGCCTTGGATGCTTCACTTACACCAAGAAAGATACATTTTTCAACCTTGTCATCAAGTTTCTTCCTTTTCTCATCTGGGACAAAGATTCTAAAGTGATCCACAACTGGTTTTCTCCTACTCCAAGCCTCTTCCGGTGTCATATTTTGAACAACAAAAGTTGGACTTCTGTTCAAAACATAAATGCTCCAGTTTATTGCTTCTGGCCAAAAAGTCTTTGGAACTCTTCCTCTTGCCAATAAACTTCTCACCATGTTGAGAATGGTTCTGTTTTTCCTCTCCGATACACCATTTTGTTGTGGTGTATACGCAGTTGTAAGCTCTCTTCGAATGCCATGCTCTGAACAAAAAACTTCAAATTCTTTTGAGCAATATTCACCACCATGATCTGTACGAAGGCTCTTAATGGACTTTCCTACTTCAATTTCCACACGAGCTTTGAAGTTTTTAAATGTAGATAAAACTTCTGATTTTTCCTGTAAAAAATAAACCCAAGTTTTTCTTGAAAAATCATCAATAAAGGTAACAAAATATCTTTTACCTCCATTAGAAGATGGGTTTATTTGTCCACAAATGTCCGAATGCACCAACTCCAAAATATCCTTTGCTCTCCATGACTTTCCTTTGGGAAATTGAGAATGATGTTGTTTGCTAACAACACATTCTTCACAGACTTGGGAAGCGGCAGTAATTTCTGGAAGTCCTGTGACCATGTTCTTCTGTTGAAAGGTCTTCAATCCACCAAAACTCAAGTGACCATAACGAAAATGCCACAACCATGAAGGATCTTTTATTTCACCCATCAAATTATTTCACCCATCAAACAAGATTGAATACTTTCAATCTTTAATGGAAACAATCTGTTTGAACTCATTTGAACAGTTGCAATAGCACCTCTAACAGGATCATAAATTTCACAAAGACCCTTTTTAATAGTGATAACATAACCCTTTTCTTGTAACTGACCAGCACTCAATAAGTTACTTTTTAGGTCAGGAACATACAACACATTAGAGATTGTTTCCACAGACCATTCTTGGTTCTTATCGTAATATCACCTTTTCCCATCACTTTCACTGTAGAACTATCACCAAAACTCACATTAGAATGAAAATCTTCATTTAAATAAGAAAAGGAAGACTTACTTCCACTCATGTGGTTACTGCATCTTGTATCCACATACCAGATTTTTGACTCGGGTTCCTTTCTGTCTTGAACAACCATCAACAATGTTTCTACCTCCTTTTTCTTGATAAAATTTGAAGTCTTTTCCTTTTCTTTGTCATTAGGAAGCTTAGTATAACATTCAAAATGATAATGACTGAATTTATGACATTGAAAACACTCTATTTTGTATTTGGCAGATTGCTGATCCCGTCCTCTGCCTCTACCTTGAGAGTGATCATCACTGCCACCCCTTCCTCTGCCTCTACCTCTACCTCTATAATTTGAGAAAGAAACAGGGGTAGAAGTCTTTAAAGCTTTCTCCTATGTAGTTGAATCTTGATTCATGTTCTATTCATGGACCAGTAGAGAACTTTGGAGTTCATCAAGGGAGAGTGTGCCTACATCCTTGGATTTTTCAATTGAACAGACAACATAATTGAACTGGGGTGTCATGGACCACAATATCTTCTCAACAATGACAACATCTTCCATCTTTTCACCATGGAACCGCATTTTATTTGCTACAGTCATGATCTTTGCAAAATAGTTGGTTACAGATTCACCATTCTTCATCTGTAGAACTTCAAATTCCTTTCTCAAGGCCTGAAGTTGTGCACGTTTCATTCTAGAAGAGCCTTGATATTTCTTCTTCATTGAATCCCAAATATCATTGGAACTTTCTTTGCAAAGAATAGTTTCCAGGATAGATCGATCAATAGCCTGGAATAAGTAATTTTTGCCTTCAAATCTTTCAACTTCAGTCCCTCCAACTCCTTTTGTTGGGTGTTGCTACACCAGTTTCAACAACATGCCAGTACTCTTTAGACCGCAAGAAATTCTCCATCAGCATGCTCTAGTGATCATAATGACCATCAAAACGTGGAATGGCTGGTTGAACAAAATTCTCAGAAACCATTTTGAAGGTTCTGATACCACTGTCAATAAAAGAAATTAAAGGAGCAGACTGTTAACAAAAGCAATTGAAAAGACAGAGAACCCAGGACTTAGATAAGAGAAATACATTTCTTTCTCTCTCTGTTTCTGTATCTTTATTCAGAAGTCTTGAATCCAATAAATAGACAAATTCATAACAGAAAATGCATGTAAATAGGACTCCAAACAAACCCACGTTCTGCACAATAAATTTAACTATGGACTCTAAATAAACCCATATTCAAATACTGTAACTAATCTCCTAAAGACTATGACACATTGACTGAGACTACAACTAGAAACATAAACATGCAGAAAACAATCCATATAGCTCTTGCAAATGGGTATTCGACCAGATGACAATAGCGATTAGCAATGATTTTAGACAACTAATCTCCACAGTTCAACATCTAGAATACTGAAGACCATATAGACGCCAATAGGTCTTCCAAAACCCAATTTCGACATGAAACTAATGATATTTTCATAAACCATTGAAGTTGGTATTGATATATCCCAATAGTAGTGATGGGTATACTTTTAAACACAGATTCAAAAGCATTGCCTTTGCTAGTCCAACACTGCCTTCTACCATCGTTATGCGAACTGGGATCCTTAACCGAATAAATAGTGCCTTATACTGGGGGATTGCTGCTATCTAAACCAAACGAACACTGCCTTAAGTGAACTTAATTGGATTGCTGGCTATCTCGAGAGAATTCTGAAAAGAAAAGGATCGTACGATGGATTACAGAGAGAACAACAATCCTATTTTGGAAAGGATCGTGGATTAGCTGGGGTGATTACGGCAATCTTATTCTAGTTAATTCACTTACAATCATGATTGATTATAAGTCGACCTTAAGTATAGTCGTGACTCGGACTATGTAAAAAAACAGAGCAATGTTGCCCCTGTTAGTGGAGTAGAAAATGATGGTTAATAGGCAAAGAGACTATTGTTATATATGCGCAATGAAGCTAGATGTTGAAAGAAATTTGGTCGATCTAGATGGTGTAATCACTGCTTGAACTATAGCAAAAACAGAGGAAAGCTACTGCCGATTGATCATTTTAGAAGATGATCGTTGAGGTTTGAATAACGATTGAAAGGAAATACAACAAATTTGTTTTCAAAGAAGATAGTGGTTAGTGAATTGATTAATTTGGAAAAGGATGGAAAGCCATAAGGGAGAAAGGAGAGGCGTTTTGGCCCTATTTTCCCACCCTGACCATGAGGAGGAAATGTGAAGTCGGTGGACCAGGCATGATGAGGTGTTGAAATGAGGTGTGAAGTGGCTTCATGAGAGAGCAAGGAAGGCTAAAACAAAGAGGGGCTGTAAGCTCTCAGTTGAGGTAAGGGAGAAAGGAGAGACCATCTGATTTATTTTCCAAATTTTCCTTTATATCAATCACTCAAATGTAAAATTATAACTTTAAACTCTTTTTTTGTTGTTCTTAAAGTATGTATTGCTTTTTTCTTTAGAAAACAACTTCGATAATAATTGCATGGATATTTTGGACATTTTTATACCTTTTGTCATAGGATTCTTATAGAAGGGGTTTATTTGCAACTGTCAGGAAGTTCATGGAAGGTTTCAGCAACAGTCTGAAACTTCAGGGGAGGCTTCAGTAACCAACATAAAATCACAACATTTGCAAAAGAGGTAAACCGGATCGGGTTCAAGGATTTTCCTTTTATGAGTGTAACAAAAAAGGAATTTTCTTTCCGAGTCTATAATCATTTTATCACACATATATCAAAACCAAGAGAAGGGAAACCGGTTGGTAAGGTGAATGTGAACCACATATATTTTGGAAATTTTTTTCCTTTCCATTTGAAGTAAAGACAGATAAGACTAAGGCTTACAAAAGAGAAAAGAAAAAAGGAAATAGAGGTCACATATACCAAAAGCAAAAGAGAAGACCATAAACATCAACTCTATTGCAAAGGCACCAACTAGCTTAATTGGTATGATATTGCCAATATTATTTCACAAAAGAGAAGAAAGATGATACTTTCATCTGATCTAAAGCAAATTGAGGATGAGGATGATGATAATAAAGCAACAACGCATCAAGGCACTAAGGATATAAATGAACCAAATCCGATTTATCATCGCCCCTTGTGACCTGATTAACTGCGATTGGACTGGCCCGTTTAATAAAGGGGAAGGCCAAGCCAATGGAGTTGAATGAAAGCTTTGGCTTTGCGCCGTATTCCAAAAAGAAAACTGTTTAGATTCTAATGGCGGAAGATGTTGGGAAAAAAGGATAAAGGATAACGCATAGCACAAATGGCATGGCTAAAAGTTATCTGATTGTGCTGGATATTTTGGTGAACACACACAACACACTGTCTGGAGTCTAGACTGGCAACCATTCACACTGATTCGTCTTGATCCTCTCTTAACATACGACGGAGATGGGAATTCTGATCCATTTCAGACGTGAGCGTGAGCCACTTCCTTCTGGAAATCGTCTCTCGTGGAAAAGCAAGGAATTTGAGTTGAGATTTGAGAGAGAGGAGAATTGACTACTGTTGGAAAAAGAAAACGTAGAGGAATTATTGATTGCACGCTCGCATCGATCGCACCAGCTCGCTCCGTGCTCTGCTGATGCATATGTGTCGCTGATGCCCAATATTTACGAAACACCACGTACAAAGGATTGAGATTTGAGACCCGCCCACGACCAACTTTGTCCTACCCTACTCCATGCATCTTTGCACCATAAGATTCCTTCTGTTTTCTTTTCTTTTACTTTTGATATATGCTTCCTCCTCTTCTTCTTCTTCATATATATATTTGGGGGGGGGGGGGGGGGGACTGTACTGTTCAACAGAAAGCCAGTTGCCACGTCTCAGCATATGTATATGTAGCAGGGGGTAACGGCTAGTTTTTCACCATCGAAATGCAAATAGTACTATAATATAAATAGTGGGTCCCTGCCCTACTTATCCCAGACACATCTAGAACATTGTTTTGTGGATTAATGGAATAATCTTTTGTCACCACTGAGTTATTTTTTTGTTAGAGCATAGTTAGAATATAAGAAATTGTGTTGTGGATGAACTTAATCAATTTCCATTAGATAATTAATGACCTATTGCATATTTATACCAGTCAAGGATAAATCCTTTAAAGTACGTAGAACTTTATTAGAGATACCACATGCCTCTTTCAAAAATTAAAGTAAAAAACTTTATTAAGGATCATAGAAATCTCTTCAGTTCAAAAATCCATGAAAATCCAGTAAAACAGGGTTAAAATGTAATGGGATTTAGATAGGCTCAGAGTCAACTAAGCGTAATCTCTGCTTCATTCATCAACCAGACCTATAAATTGGTGCCTAAGCCAGCTTTTTTTTTTTTTGCGGTGAAAATCTGAATTAGTACAAATTTTGCACTTGACTTAGTTTTGCATCCATTTGTTTATAATTATGATCTGCACTCCTACCTGATACAAAATGTATATTTTTTGCCTTATTTGCACTTATTAGCATTGCAAATTTTGTATCTCAAAAATCAATGCAAAATTTACACCCCTTGCCTCCTTTCATTTAAAGTAGACACCATATCATCTTGCTTCCTACCTTATTCCCAAACATATAACCCTCCTCCTACCTCAATTTTCTTCTTTCATACAAGTTTCAGACTACATACAAATAAATAAAGACAAAGTCAAACCCGTAGCAAAAATAAACCTGAGTTACACTCAGCATATTTGCACTCTCGTGCTTTTATGCTAGTACCAACCAAATTCGCTATACAAACAAACTGAGCATTAAGTTCAAAGGATACAGGCTAGTTTAATGGGTTATATTTAAAAAATGCAAAATCTTAGGAATTGAGGTAGACATGGATATATTAGGGTTGATGGGCCCACACATCAACCCTTAGAACTTTGTCTCTTTTTTTTTTTTTTTTCTGCTAAAAGAGCAAAACTAGGTTGATGGGCACACACATCCATCCACAAAGCCTTTGCTAAGGCCTAAGGGGATCTAAAATAATCGCCTTTCAGTTTTCAACCTCATTATTTTGCCCATCAATAGGTAATTTATAGACCTCTCAACATATTCAAATTATAGATAAGAGGAGATAAAATAATGAAAAACAAAGTCCACTCCAATGAGGGAAAGTTTTCAAGAGTAAAGGCCCCCAAAATAATCCCATTCAAGGGCATATGTATTTGCACAGTATATATTTGTATTTATACATTTTCCAAACCGAAACTAGATTGCAAAATGGATAACTCTTACTTTTGTTGAGCAATGACATGAGGCATCTCGCTTTTGCACTTCATAATAGAAGACACCTATCCAACATAAGATTCTCAATGTTGGCTTTTTAAGCACCATCTTGGGCTTTTAGAGGCCCAAAAGAATACATGCAAGTACATTATACGAGCCCATTTTTGGAATGAGGTATATAGCAAGTGGAATGATTCGTAAATCATGGGGCAATATAATGCTTTTGTATCTGTCTTTCTGTTTATTTTCATATTGTTAATTCTAACACAGATTTATTTATGATCTGGTCTAACAGGTTACGAAACTACTAACAAGGTCATAGGTGGAAGAAGTCGACCCGGTCCTGTTGGCCCCGATTTTGGAGGTCCTCTGCATTATGCTTAATTAGGGTTACGTATTTTCAATTTTTATTCATTTGAGAGATATCTTTCGGAATACTTGCTTTCATATGCAAGTGTAAGAGGGGGTGGACTGTGGACATGGACCACGGACTTTGGTGCACTTGGATGCTCAATGTCAATAGTTGACCCGAATGGTCAAGCTGGTCAATCCATCACAAGGGTAGGATTTTGGGCCCATTTAGCCCTTCATTCACTTGGAAAAAAATTGACTGACCACTTTATCTGGTTAAACTGTTTGACTTGGTCAATGCATCAATATTAAATATTCTTTTGGAATTTGGAAAGTAATAAATAAATGAGATCTTTTGTAGAAATTTTGCATTTTTATCTATAAAAACACTCATCTTCCAACAACAACAACAAACATACTTTGGAAGAAGAAATGGGGCTTCCTACCCTAAGACTCATGACTCGCAGAATCTCAGGGTTTTCTCTAGAGTTATCCCATTAGTTCGAACTGGAAGCAGTCTTCAATTGTGCCCTTCCCTTGTTCGTAAGAATTGGGATCCGTTTGGTTTGTAATCCAAATCGGAATAGGAATCAAAATCTTTCGGAATCGAAATCGAAATGATTCATTCCTATAGTCTGTTTGGTTTAAACAGAAATAGGAATGAAAATTAAAATCAACAAAAATGGGATTTCATTCTCAAGGGAGGAACAAAGAACGGTCATTACCTCAAATGAGAGAATGTCATATCAGCAGAAATAGATATGGGATTCCAATTCTACCCAAACAAACAGTTACAATCAGATAGCCCATTCCAATTCCGATTCCAGACTTCTATTCCCGCAAATCAAACGGGGCCTTAATGTTGAAGGGCAAGGGTAAAATGAGACGAGGAAAACCCTGAGCACAGAATATTGAATTGATATTGTGTGTGCCCCTTCTGAGTACGTAAGTTAATTTACTTTTCTGTTAAAAGTAATAAGTTATTTCACAGTTGCACAAACTAATATAGGGATCACGATGTCACAGAACCAGTTTCCAAATGATAGATATACTTTGGAAATTGGAACACTTTCCTCTTTCTTATTTGGAAAAGGTGATGGATCGATTCTGTTTCCACACAGATGGGACGTGTTTGCTTGATGAGTCATCCAGCAAAAGGATATACTTTGGAACACTTTCCACTCCGACTCCGTTCATCACCCATCCAGCACTCCGCTATGCAGGTCTCCAGAACTTATTTTGGCTTAAACTAATTGCCTAATCGAGGGGCCTGTCTGATTAGTGATTGCACGTACGGTTAAAGCAGCTGAACTGAATAACTTGTCCATTTGTCTTTACTGATGAATAGGTTATCGAGGAGAATTGAGCTCCTTCATGCTTAGAGGTGAAAGTAAGATTGATTATTTAATTTTCTTTTTTTTGCTTTTCCAAATCTGGATCCGCTCTTCCACGCCAACTTCACAGCATAGAATGATAATGTACAAGTAATATATGTTTGCATGGTGGATTATGTCAATGATATATTGAAAACTTATTTTTTTTAAGTTTTACATAGAAAAAAAAAAGAAAAAGAAATGCCTAAACAGCTCTTGCTTTTGGAGTATCCTAATATTGCTTTTGGAACGTCATTTTGGTAAAGTCTTTTACTGGTTGCAGCGAACTGGATTTGCTATACTTTTGTTTGTTACACTTTGTGGTACAGAAACAATTACTGTTTAATAGCATGATAGGTGTTTCATTGTACATGTGTAAAGGCATGCACATAGCTAACTGACTTTTACACATAAGTCCTGAGCACTTGCTGCACACCTAATTATATGCATGTACTCAGTACACCATAAATTGTTGCAGATCGACCCAAACGCGTAGCAATTGATATATATATATATATATATATATATATATATATATATATATGGGTGTGTGGTACACTGGTACGTACGTGGAGTTCGGACCTGCTGCTGAAGCTTCATCAGCAGAACCGTTGCTAAAATCCGGCCATGATTTCCTTAGAGAGTATCTCTGCCCTAAACAATGGACCGTTCTCTTCAAAATGGAAAAAAGCTAAAACAATTGACTTAAACCGAGGTGTATCAGATTTAGGATGCAATTTAATAAATCCTTACCAACTGATGAAGCTGACGTGGAAGGACGAGTTGTTGAGGGGTACTAAATCCTTACCACTTTGAAGCTGTGCACTGGGGTAATTTGTAACTACAGAAAGAATAAACAAGCTAGTCCGAACCGACGAGATTGGTATGAGAGCAAAGAGTATTCAGAGCTAAAGACCTTTACCTCAAGGGGAAGATGTTTTTAAATGCCCATGTTGTGGTCAGACAAAGTTCGCAAGACTGTCAGGATGAGGCCGTCCATCAAAGTTCTCGGGAGGTTCCACTCTCCTCGGTGGGGATGTTTCTCCTTCTTCTCCCTCATGATGCCTTTCTATGATGCAGCCATGAAAGCATGTGTTGATATGGTCCGAAGACATTGGCCACATAATCTAACACTTGCCAGTTTCGACTAACTAAGGTATCACTCAAACAAGGCCTATTCCGATTCCACCATTTCAGTGGTGGATAGTGATGTGCTATCATTCGGAAGATGTTTATGGTGCACGAGTGTCATAGCTAGTCGAAACAATGTTATGGGTGTTTGTTGGTAGTAGTTCTGAACTCTTCATTAAAAACATGTGGATTGGAGATTGAGCTATGGTAATTCATTAGTTTATAGATGTAAACACTAAACTATGGGTTTTGATGAGGGGTGATTTGGTCCTCTACCTAGTGATATCATGATATGTGATATATCATAGCCGATGCATGACACCTCAGTGCCACATAAGAAATGACTTTGGATACATCTCAGGCTTGCCTCGATTATCCCAACACCACCTTGACAAGGCTGACTTGCAGGCACCTTGATAGGGTTAGGTCGGCAATCTCAAGGGCGACCTCTTGCCATTGATCCGATTGAGGCCCAGTTGGCAACTTGCATGACATGGTGGCCGACCTCTATTATGTGTGGGCCATTGTTTGCGAATCCTTCGGGATCACAACGCTTAATTAATGGAGTTGGCTTCCACCCCCGCCCGCTTTGGAGGCAACCGGATAAGCTCTATCACTTTATGCAGAAGCCTTTTCCGAGTGTAAAACCACCTCCAAGCGAGGCGGACCAGTAAGCCACGTCTTTCCGGAGATCTCGGACGTGCTACGTGAAATCCACGGCAGCATATACTTATATAAAGGCATCCTATCAATCAGAGAAGGTATGCATGATTTAAGTCTCATAACTCTCTTGCTGTCTCGCTTTCTAGCATTCATACACTCTTTGCTGACTTAAACATTGGAATGCCCACCCCGGGTACTCTGACTACTACTTTCTTGCAGCTCAACCAACCGATCTCATCAACTCGACGTCTGAACTGTCCTCTAGTAGGAAGCACTAGATCGCACACCATCAAGTCTATTTTATTCACAGCCAGAATCAGAATTGGAATCGAAATCAGAATCTGAATAATCTATTCCTTTTACTTGTTTGGTTCAGATTGAAATTGGAATCAGAATCAAAATTGATTATAATGCATTCTTATTCCTTGGGGAGGGAATGACCAGTACCTCATTGGAGAATGCTATTCCACTAGAAATGGGGATGAAATTCTGATTCCGTCCAACCATACAATTGAAATCAAAATAAAACATTTTGATTCTGATTCCAAAGACCCTATTCATACAAACCAAACAAAATAGATGGATTCACGTGGAATTATGAGACCACTTGTTTGTTTTGAACTTATCATACACTTAGTTTGCATCTAGTTTTTGACAAGTATCCAATTACATGTGTATAAAAAGAAACAATGGGCTGGATATAAAATCATGCACACCATACAACCTGTCACGAGCGGACATATCAGTATTTCATATCCATGGGGTCCGCGTAATGAAACAGTTGTCACAGTGTAATACAAGCACAAGTGTAGTGGACGATCCATGTATGCTGCTTTATAAACGTGTCAATTTTTTGTTAAAGGAATTTTTTTTTAAGACACAGAAATTGATACAAAGAATTGCCAACAAGATTAATAAAAAATCCAGATACAATTTCTTAAAAAGAACAAATATAAAAATAAAATCATCAACAAAAGTAAAAGTAGATAAACATAACTCCAATCCACCATAAATGACAAACAAAACTGATGGTAGAGGTTAAAAGAGATTGTAACCGAAAAGAAAATATATACATGTATGCATGTATACATATCTTTCTAAAATAAATTATGAAAATATCAACGAACAAAATGTGTGCATGAATGCATGCATATCTTTCAAAAATAAACTATGGAAATATAATAACAGACAAATCTCAATTTGATATACTTTTGGCCTTTGTAAAGGAAAAAGAGGTAGTCCCTACCATTTTGCGCTGAAAGCTTTTTACATTCTAGTCTCTCAACGTGTCCACTTACATCCTATTATATAGAGTTTTGCATTATTAATTTGTTTCTATCTAGATGAAGTCCACGTTAGGATCCAATCAAGAGGTGTTCACCGTCCGACGAGAACCCTTTCTCTATACTGTAAATCTCGGCGGCCAGGATTGTTGATTACAGTTTTCAAGCCAAACTGTACCAACAGCATACATACACATGCACGTATATGAACGGAAGAAGAACAAAAAGGAGAAGCCATTAGTGGGCATAGACGTCAGAGAAAAGCCTCTTTAAGCAAAAGAAATGTACTCTGTCTTATTCTCTCCCACCTTTTTATCAACTCATCCAAATGATGCGTCAACCATTTGCCATATATTCTTACGAGCAAAAAAAAAAAAAAAAGCAAAGAAGTAGAAATACATTTCCTCTCTTTCTCCTCTCTTCTCTTCTTCTGCAACAACTAAAGTTCACTATTTCTCTCCATCTTCACTCCACCATCTATCGTCGACTCTAACATGGGTACTCCGTTTCTTCTCATCTTTCTCATCTCATTTCTTCTTCTTTGTAGCCTCTCCTTTCAAACAACTGTGGATAACCAATCTCATTTCTTCACTCTCATGAAACACTCACTCTCGGGAAAATCATTGTCTCGTTGGGACGTCTTCATTCCGGGCGAAAAACCTTATTGTAATTACACCGGAATCAGCTGCAACGATGAAGGGTATGTCATAAAGGTCGATGTCTCAGGATGGTCACTGAGTGGTCAATTTCCAGCCAACGTCTGCAACTACTTGCCAAAATTGCATATTCTCCGCCTCAGCCACAACGATCTCCGGGGTAGCTTTCCGGTTGGCATCAGTAACTGCTCTCTATTAGAAGAACTTAATATGACAAGCTCGTCCATCACGGGAACACTGCCGGATCTTTCGCCCATGAAATCACTTCGGATTCTTGACCTGTCATACAACCTCTTCACCGGGGATTTCCCCATGTCTGTCACTAATCTCACCAATCTAGAGTGGCTGAATTTCATTGAGAATGCCTGTTTCAATTCGTGGCAGCTGCCGGATGATTTCTCTCGACTGACAAAGCTTAGAACCTTGATCCTGTCTACATGCATGGTGCATGGCCGGATCCCAGCATCAATTGGAAACATGACCTCACTCGTTGACCTCGAACTGAGCGGGAATTTCCTTGTTGGTCAGATTCCCCCAGAGATCGGGAAACTGAAGAATTTGCGACAGCTGGAGCTTTACTATAACCAGCTCGAAGGTGAAATTCCTAACGAGCTCGGAAATCTAACGCAGCTCATTGATTTGGACATTTCTGTTAATCGACTTACGGGAACAATACCGGAGTCTCTCTGCAAACTTCCTAATCTCCGCGTGCTGCAGCTCTACAACAACAGCCTCACCGGAGAAATCCCGAGCGCAGTTGGGAACTCGACCACTTTGAACATATTGTCTCTCTATGACAATTTCCTTACAGGAAAAGTGCCCTCAAATCTCGGGGAGTCATCGGAGTTGGTTGCGTTAGACTTGTCTGAAAATCGCCTATCTGGGAGTTTTCCACCAAATGTTTGCAAGGGAGGTAAATTGCTATACTTTCTTGTTTTACAAAATCTGTTCACTGGTGGTTTGCCTGAGAGTTATGGAAAATGCACGTCACTTCTCCGATTTCGAGTTAGTTATAACCGTTTGGAAGGCTCCATCCCAGAAGACATTCTTGGTCTTCCCCATATTTCGATCCTTGACCTGGGTTTTAATTGTTTCAGTGGTGCAATTGCGAAAACAATTGGAAATGCTAAGAACTTATCGGAGTTGTTCATACAGAATAACAGGATTTCAGGTGTCATCCCACCTCAAATTTCTCAAGCTAGTAACCTGGTAAAGATTGATCTTAGCAATAATCTCCTTTCTGGTGCCATCCCCCAAGAAATTGGCAACCTCTGGAAGTTGAACCTATTGCTCCTGCAAGGTAATAAACTAAGGTCATCCATTCCCAAATCACTTTCTTCTTTGAAATCTCTAAATCTTCTTGATCTGTCCAACAACCTCTTGACGGGGAGTATCCCAGAAAGCATCTGTGGATTGCTCCCCAATTCAATAAACTTTTCAAACAACCATCTCTCGGGTCCGGTTCCTCCCTCATTGATAAAAGGAGGTTTGGTAGAAAGCCTTTCAGGAAACCCCGGACTTTGTCTCTCAGTATATCTTAATTCATCTGATTCAAAATTCCCTCTCTGTCCGCAAATTTATACCCGAAAGAAGCTTAACTATTACTGGGTTATTGGGACGTCGGGGATAGTGGTAATTGTTGGGACAGTATTGTTCCTCAAACGTTTGCTTAGCAAGGAGAGAGAATTGATGGAACAGGATGAGCTGTCGCGTTTGTCCTTCTCCCATGTCCAGAACTTCCATATAATCAGCTTTGACGAACGCGAGATCGTTGAATCCTTAGTTGACAAGAACATTGTGGGACACGGAGGATCGGGCACTGTGTACAGGATTGAGTTGAGCAGCGGAGAGACAGTTGCAGTGAAGAAACTATGGAGTCGAAAAACCAAGGATCCAACATCAGAGGATCAGTTGATCCAAGATAAGGAGCTTAAGACCGAAGTTGAGACCCTTGGGAGTATCAGGCACAAGAACATCGTCAAATTGTACTGCTACTTGTCGAGCTCAAATTTAAATTTATTGGTCTATGAATACATGCCGAAAGGAAACCTGTGGGAAGCACTCCACAGAGGACGAAGCCTTTTGGATTGGCCCACTCGGCACCGGATAGCGCTCGAAGTCGCACAGGGACTGGCCTACCTCCACCATGATCTATTGCCGCCAATCGTTCACAGAGATATCAAGTCAACAAACATTCTACTAAACGCAGATTACCAGCCTAAGGTAGCTGACTTCGGGGTTGCCAAGGTGCTGCTAGCAAGAGGAAGCAAGGATTCCTCAACCACTGTTATTGCAGGAACTTATGGGTACATGGCCCCAGGTAATAAATTTCTGAATCTACTCGATTTGATTTCAGTTACGAGGATAATTCAAATATATAATCAGGTCAGGTGTCTTCATTAATTTATAGTACTATTTAACCTATCAATCTGGTTGATGCATGTTTGATTTTGATGGACGGCAGAGTATGCATATTCATCCAAGGCAACAGTCAAGTGTGATGTCTATAGCTTCGGTGTAGTACTCATGGAACTGGTAACTGGGAAGCAACCGATAGAAGCAGAGTTCGGAGAGAACAAGAACATCATTTACTGGGTGTCAAGCAAAGTGGAGACCAAGCAAGGAGCTGTGGAGGTCTTAGACAAGCGACTACTGGGGCTATTCAAGGAGGAGATGATACAAGTTCTTCGGATTTCCATCCGTTGTACCTGTAAGGCCCCGTCTCTCCGTCCCACCATGAACGAGGTTGTTCAATTGCTTGTTGAGGCAGATCCTTGCAGGTCATCAAACAAGATAAAGCAATCATCATATCTCATTAAAACTAAGAACGATGCATGATAGGGTTTAAGTAATTAAAAGCGACGTCGCAAGATTTGTAGAACAGTATATATCCATCCCTTTTTCTTTATTGAATTATTGAGTCTCTCAAAAGAAAATGTAGTACGTACGTAAGACGGAGGTTTTGTGATTTGTATAATTGTATTCTCTTCTTTTTCTTTTCTGGGTTTATTTGTTTTGTTTTATATGAGGAGTTGATAGAATCATAGAATTTCTGCATTATTATATCTTCTTCAATTTATGGTGAGGCACAGCATCTACACAAGGAAAAAAAAAAAGGAAAAAGAAGAGAAGCCATTCTCTTGCTTTTTTTTTAGCAATTCCGGTTTTTAACTTTTTATGTTCTCTTTATTTCATGAGAGTTATCCAAAAGAGACGCAAAAGAAGGGTTGAAACACTGTGGTCTGTGGAGGACAGGATGTGGGGAAAATTTAGATTTGCAATTGGTTCTTTTGCATCAAATTGATTCTTTTACTTTTTTTTTTAATTAATTAAGATTAAGAAGTTAGGTAAGATTGGTTGTAGAGGGCCTACTGAAAATTAGCTATGATCCGTTGCAAAAGATAGAGGGTACGGTTGATGCATGATGAGTGAGTGTGATTAATTAATATTGGGTTGAAAGCGAGAGATGACATCAAAGAGAACACACCAAGATTCATCGACCGTAGAAACTATGCCGTGAACACACCAAGATTCACCAAGATTCGGAGTCATATTTCAGCAGGAGATCCCCTGTTCTCTGATCCCTTTAGGGAGTGTTTGACAACATGTTGATGTTGATGTGGCAATTGTGTTTGTTTTGGTTTTATTTTCGTTTTCAAAAACTAAAACAGCAATTGTTGAACACCCCTCTTAAATTTGGAACGGGATCTGCTCCCCACTCTGGGTTGTCTCACAGGCACATCCACTGTGCATTGAAAACATTTCCCCTGAATAATAATTTATAAATACGGGAGATATTCTCAATGCATGATAAGATGTGCGTGTGAGGAACAGACTCTGTCTCCTTAAATTCCTTAATGATCATCCTACGGTCCTTAATTGATACACACCTATCACTGTCATTGAGGACTTCGTTGTACTTTCACAATTATTGGCGTACATTGGGCTTTGCGTTTTTGAGGCCCAGAGAAAGTTAGGCCTGACTCCATATGGTGGTGAACCAACTTCACCACCATGATACAGTGGTAAAAAGTTTACCTCACGAACCAACCCAGGCTAGATCAATCTCCTCACAAGTCACACCTGAGCTGGCCAAAAAGGTTTTAGGTTTTAGCACAGCCTGTGTTTGCATATTGGCAGCACAGTAAGCTCAGGCTTTGCCTCAGGTTGGGCCAAGCCCGCAATTGAGGTGCCAAATTTTAAATAGTATAAGAAAATGGCTTGATGGTGGAAAATCAATACAAAGTACTTTTCCCTTTCATTCCTTACATTTTCCTTCGAACCAAACATAGCCTTAAGGTTAGAAATTTAGTATGAGAAATATTATAATGGATTGGAACTAATACTCTATAGAACCTATATAATAATTAGATTCGGGGTCAAATCGGTCAGGTAATCAACTCTAACCCAAATCAATTAGTAAACTGGGTTCATGAATCCCAACCTTAAGCCTAACCCGATGGTCAACCCAATCAAACATGACATTCCTAGGACCCAACCCAACCCAACCCAACCTGACATTTCTGGGTTGGTTCATGTTATCCTGGCCCAAGTAGAACCCCTATGATATAGTGGTAAAAAGTTTACCTCACGAATTTGTTGCTAATTATTATATAAGATGTACTGAACTTCAATTCAAGTCAATTTTCTAGTTTGGTATAGTGGTTCTAGGTTTCCAAAACGTTCATTACTAGTTTGTGATTTGTTAGCAATTCTAGTATCCATGGTAGCATCAGAGTAAGTATTTAGCACTGGTGGAAGAAGGGTTCGATGCTCTTTGCTTCTAGAGACAACTGAGGCTTTAATATGCTCTCAAGATTGGCTAACTGCACCAAAATCGCCAAGCGAGTTATATAATATTTTTCTTTAGATATTTGTTTTCTTATGTTTCATTTATACTAACATTAAATTTTATGTTGATATTGAATAATCAATGGGCAGTTTTGGTTGCTGGCCAGATTAGCTTGGATCAGTGGCTCTCTTTGGTTGGGTTGGGGTTAATGGCATTTCCTCCTAAAGTCATCTCAACCAATGTGATCCATATAAATCCAGTTTTGGAAGGGTATATTAAGCTGAATATAGATGGTGCATCTAAGGGAAACCTGGGTCTCTCTGGTGGCAAGGGAATTATTAAATTAAAGATTGCCGGAATGGTTTCATTGGAGATGGACTTGATATGGTGAAACCTGTGGGCATTGGAAATAGACTCTTTAATTCTTTAAGGGTCTAACATCTCTTCCTTGGAAACGGTATTGGCACAGGAAAGTAATAGATATTGATTTGCTTCTAATACATATTTATAGGGAGGCAAACCGTGTGATGGCAGTGTCATTACTTACTATAATAGCATGGATGATTTGCCACAATAAACAAAAATTTTATTACAAGATGATGGATCAGGTAAGGGTGTCAATGGACCGATTTTGGATTGGACTCCGTCCATTCCAAAATCAATTTGGACGGATAATCAAGACATTGGATTGGACCAATCCGGTCCAAAATATTTATTAGATTGGAATGAACCTGGTCCGTTTGTAACAAATTTATATTGGATTGGGTTGGATTAAGCTAAGGTCCATTGATGTAATATAAGAATATATATATGTCAATGGACTGGGTTTGAATTGAAACCAATCTAAATCAAAATGAATTTGAACAAATTAGATGGTCCAGACATTGAATTGGACCGGTCCAAATTGGTCCAAAACATTTATTGGATTGGATTAGACCCAGTTCATTTATAATGAACTCACATTGGGCTGGTTCGGTCCAATTGACACCCTAAATCAGATATATATCCATTTCTGTGACCCTGATCCAGAAGGTAACGTATCTAGGTCTGAACTCTGAAGCACATCTAAAGGGTGAGTGGGGACAGAGTCAGCTGTGTGAGTGCACTTTTGTCGGGCTACTTGTTACCCATTCTAACATGAAATTGAATCATCTGAGATTCTAGAAAAGGGTCGGGCTGTCGCTTTTAGAAGTTTGATTGGAGCATTGTGCATTTGGTGGGCCTTCTTGGCACAAGCACAAGCTGCACAACAATGCATGCTTCCTTGTTAGAGAGGATTTTCTTTCTCAATTATTATTTTTTTACTCTGTCAACTTTTAGACCAAAATTAATTGAACATATGTAGATCTGTTTACGGACTAGTCGGGCCCCACTAATATCTAGGCGCGAACCCGAGCCCAAAAATATGTTCAAGCCCGATAAAAGATAGGCCAAACCAGGCAAACCCACCGGGCAACCTGGCCGTGAACAAGTCTATATTGTAGGTATGTCTATATGTGTGCTTAGTAAACAAAGGGAGGGAGTGCCTCCAAAAACAAGTCTGGAGGTTTGACATGGAGATTATATGTGGGTCCTACTAGTACCCAGTTTTTTTTTTTTTTTTGGTAGAAACTCGTACCCAGTTTTGTTTTGATTTGATTGTGTCAAATGCATTTTTCATTTTTCTACTTTGGAAATAAAATCAATGTTGTGTTTGTCTATTTTGGAAGTTTGGTAGCTTGGTGAAAATGATTTCATTACCAAATATTGAAAATTTGCAATTTACCACTTTGCTTGCCCGATAATACAATTTCCATGTTTTTTTGTCCGTTCTTATTCATTGAAAAGAATCTTCTCAAGTTTTACCCTGAAACCCCAATTAGTGCATGTAGATCCGTAGAAAGACCAAGAAATATAAAAGGAAAATAGGTAAGAAACAAAATAGTTTCACATTATTATTTCTTTGAATTCGATTTGGCATAATTGGATTTGATGTTGTGCAATCTGACTGCTCCTAGCTGGTGGTGGCTTAACTTCCAGTAGACGACAAATGTGGAGAATCTGTACAAAAAGAATCAGAGAACCCGGGGGTGCTTACCCGGTGAGGTCGCTCCGATGCTTAAGTCAGTATGTGCGAGCTAAGAATAATTAGAAAGCAAGAGAGCTAGTAAGCAGTAAAATGTGCATACCTTGGGCCCCGAGAAGGAGGCCTTTATATAATGGAGTCATCAGTTGATAAGGCTAATCCCTTCTGCCCGGATTGGACGGGGAGATAATGTTTAGCTATTACGAGGCGTGATCCCTCGGAATTTGGGGACCATTGGAGTGACTTTCGGGATTGTATCGAGGGTAGATCGGTATACCCGAGCCAGGGGTCCTGAACTATGTACTGGTGTCGCGACCTAGTACCGAGGTGCCCTTAGCTTGGGGTGATCTTAGCTCGAAGAATTTTAGTTTGAGGTAGTGGAGTATTACTTTGTAGCGAGCTGGCTATACTGAGTTGTCACCTATGTTGAGTCACGTCCACGTGTCCCCTTATTATGAGGTTGGGCCAAATCGCCCTCCTTCAATTGCCCCCCACTCCTCGAGCCAGGGGTCCTGACCTAGTGTGGGAAGTTCACGACGTGACGGGTGGATTTGGCTCGAAGTCTAGGCTGTCCAGTCAGATAGTTCGTCGATCAGACCAGTTCACTGCTCGGCTTAATCAAGGAAAACTCGGATTGCATACGGTTCACGTGCGGACCTCACGCGATCTATAAACTCCGCGGACGCCAAAAAATGCGCTAAATTGATTTTGACCTCGGGGGTCGCGCAACCAGTTTTCTTGAGAGTCGTTGGATCACCTTGATCTTGACCGTTGATTCTCGGATATAGCGGCTATAAATAGGGGGGACCTGAGACATTTTTCTTCGCCATAAGTTCATCAGCCTTCGCTCAGAGGTCACGCTTAGACTCCTTAGCTTGGGTTTCCCAATTCGTCATTTTCCTAGTTCGGTCGTTTTTCTAGGTGAGTCTCTCCTAGCCTCTTTTTCAATTTTTAGTTCAGTTTGTAGTTATGTTCAACCTTAGTTTTGATAGTCTTTTAGATGAGCCCGAGGAAGGAACCTCGGCTCAAGTCGGTGCTCCCGAGGTGGAGTCATCCTAGGAGGTGCAACTGGCCACGGATAACCCGGCGTCCACTTCTCATCGAGGTCAAGCGCTGGACAGGTTTGGTCCCTCAACGTTGACTGTGGAAAGACTTAGGGCTTTAATAGGTTAATACCACCTCCCGGACGAGCACACCTA